GGGGGGGGGGGGGGGGGGGGGGGGGGGGGGGGGGGTCCTCGGTTTTGGAGACCCGGATGTGGGCATTTGGAGGCGAGTAGGGGTTGTGTACTTACGTGCCCGCCTGGCGCAAGGAATGGATAAGGATTCGGTCGGCTTCCTCCATGGTGGAGTCGATTCTAACTCCGGGCTAGGTCCCGGACTGGATCGGAGAAAGTGAGGCGCAGCTGTAGCAACCACTCTCCCCACTCAGAGAGGACAGGGCGTCACGTGCCGCGCAAGGAGAACTGGGAAGTGTAGTTCAGTGAGTGAGCGCCGCGCAGGCGGAAATGCCTAGAGGCGGGGTGTGAAAGTGCGTGCTCAAACCCGAGCATGCAATGGCTGCTGGAAGCTGTAGTTTTTCCACCTGTAGTCCCGTGCACTAGGGCCTAGGAAAAGAGGAGCTAAGAGCTGCGGAACCCAACAAAGAGGAGCTACATTTCAGACAGCATTCATTTTCTAGTTTAAAAAGTATACAAAGCAACTGTTCTGTGTCCTGCTTTCCTCATCTATAAAATAGGAAAGTTCATAATACCTACCTCCTAGGATTAAAACATAATTACTGAAGCCAAGCATGGTGGTGCATGCCCTTAATCCCAACATTCTGGAGGCAGAGGCAGACGCATCTCTGGGAGATCGAAGCCAGCTTATTCTGCATAGCAAGTTCCAGGACTACAGGGAGACCCTGTCTCAAAAAAAAAAAAAAAAAAAAAAAAAAAAAAAAAAAGAAAGAAAGAAAGAAAGAAAGAAAAAAGAATAATTATTGGAGTGGTGAGACGACAGCTCAGCGCGTTAAGGTGCCTGTTGCCAAACCTGATGCCCTGAACTCAATGACTGGGACCCACATGGTGGAAGGAGGCAAATTAATCCATAACATTGTCCTTTGACTTCCACAAACATGCAGTGGTATACACACACACACACACACACACAGAGTAAATAAATAAATAAATAAATAAATAAATAAATAAATAAATGAAATATAATTACTAAACTGTGATGGCACACACCTGTGTGATGGCAAGCACCAGTTTGAGGTTAGGTTGGCCTACATAGGGAGACTCTGCCTCAAAAGAAAAGAAGCAAAGAGAGGGAGGAGAGAGAGAATTGTGAATTACAGTTATTCATATTCATGTAATCAATAAATGAATTCTTTTAATATGCTGTACAATCCAAAGAATATTGACACAGCAAATATCTATGCATCCATTATTTATTGAAAGGCCTATTCTGTCTCCACTATCCAGTAGTCCAACATTTGTTGTAAATTTTATATAAATATATAAATTAAATATATGCCTCAGTTTCTCAACTGTACTCTATTTTTGGATATTGCATTGTCCTGTTTTGTTTTTGTTTAGAAATAATCTTGAAATGTAGCCCTGGCTGTCCTCAAGATTGTAATAATTCTCCTGTCTCTGCCACCTGAGTGCTGGAATTAGAGGCATGTACCAGCACCTCTGGCTATATTCTATTTGGTTTTTATTTGGGTGGGGTGTTTTATATTGTTTTGTTTTGTTTTGTTTTGTTTTGTTTTGTTTTGAGACAGGGTTCCACTATGTAGCCCTGGTTGGCCTGGAACTCTCTAGGTAGACCAGACTGGCCTCAAACTCACAGCAATCCACCTGCCTCTGCCTCCCAAGTGTTTGGATTAAAGGCGTGTACCACCATATGGGGCTTATATTCTGTTTTTAATTACTGTAGATTTATAATGAGCCTTGATATCAGATATAGTAAGTCCTCTTGTCTTGTTCCTTTTCAAATGATACTGACTTTGGCTTTTCTAGATCCTTTGTATATTGAATATATATTTATACATATATACATATATATATCAAACTCAATTTGTCAATTCCACAGAAAAATATTTTAAGATTTTATTTGGTATTGCCAATGCAAAAATGCCAGACAGAATGTTTTGGGAAGAGTTGACATCATCGTGACATTGAATATTTAATCAGTAAATGTTATGTTTTTCCATTTTAGGCCCCCTTCAATATTTGATATTTGATACTTTTTTCATAGAGATACTGTAAGTGTTGAGTTTTTCCTGTGTGCTACAAATTTCATATACTATTGGAAAATGGCATCATTTTTTTCTTATTTTAGTTTCTTCCTGCTTGATGTGGGTAACTATTTGGTAAACATTTAAGGCTGGGTGTAGTGGCACATGCTTTTAATCCCAGCACTTGGAACGCAGAATCAGGCAGATCTCTGTGAGTTCAAGAGCAGCCTGGTCTATATAGTGATACCCTATTTCAATTTTTTTTAATCAGTGCCTTTTCTGTTGTCAAGCTCTGGCCTACAAATGTCCCATTTGCTCCTCTGCTCACCCTCCCAACTGACAATATTATTCCCCGCCTTGTGACCTTAATCTCTCTAAAGCTGGGAGAGGAGAAGGGGGCTATGTGCAGATGGCCCTTTTATCTCCAGAGGAGGATGTCGGAATCTGAAGACGGGAAAGGTGAGAGCAGACATTTACCCCTCCTGTAGACCCTTGGAGCCACCCTGGGCTCTGCTCCACCCTCACCCTCTCATCTACCCACTGCCCATCTGGACCCTACCCCTGGAGAATCTCTGGGAGACCAGAGTATCATCACCCTCTTCCTGTCCCAGGGAGCCCCTAACAGAGCTTCTTTGTCACCTGAGATCAGACACTAAGCCTACACAAATCCTTTCCCCATAGCACCCCAACCCTATCCACACAGCCTTAGTTCCCAGATGAAACCTAACCTGAATCCTGACCATAGCGCCCACTCCAATTCTAACTCCAAGTTTAGCCTTACACTGAATCCTAAATCTAAGCCCTACTAACCAGAAAACAACCTTCCCCCATCCACCACATGGGTACATTAGAATCCAAACCCCACAGTGGCTACAGACCTAACCATGAACCCAAAGGTCATCTAACCTCGAGTTGCCAGTAGTTGTTAGTGAGTGATTTCCCTGGTTGTCCAGAAACAGAGCAGGCCCTTTTAGTTCAAGGCCAGCCTGGTCTACATAGTGAGTTCCAGGACAGCTGGGGCTACAGGGAGACCCTGTCTCAAAAAAAAATTACACAGCTAATGGTATAGTAAGTTGGGAGGGCTCTAGAATCAGAATGCCCAAGTTTGACTCCTGATTCAGTCACTTTAGCAAGTCTTTTAACCCTTTTGCCTCAATTTCTCCCATCTTCAAAATGGTAATACTACATGCCAGGAATTCTTGTGAATGCTGAACTTCTTTACTCTTTACAATATCCCTATAATGCAGGCAACCATTATAATCATCCCCAATATAAAGATAAGGAAATTGAGGCTCAAAGAATTACATAATTCTCTCAAGGCAATACACAGTTTCCAAATAGTAGTTAGAATTTGAATTCAAAAAGCTGATTTCCTACAAAGGTTCTTTTTTAAAAAATATTTTATTATTTTTATTTTATATGTATGCGTGTATTGCCTGCATGTAGGTAAGTGCACCCGTGTCGTGCAATACCCGTGGAGGACAGAAGAGACTGTTAGATCTCCTGGAACTGGAGTTACAGACAGTTGTTAGCTGCCATGTGGGTGCTGGGATTTGAACCTGGGTCTTCTGCAAGAACAGTCAGTGTTCTTAACCACTGAGCAATCTCTCCAGCTCCCCTACAAAGATTCTTAACCAGGCCAACCTCAGAAAATGAAACAAAGCCACAGGGTCTTGAAACGGCTTCACTGAAAACTCCAATGCAAAATGTAAATCCTATTCAAAACTCAACCCTACTTTGATCCTAATTCCAATCCCAACTCATTCAAGTACTCAGCCTCAACCCTGAATCTCAACCTAATTCCACTCTTAATTAAGGCTAAACCCACTCCGACCCAAAATCTACCACTCAGCTTTAACCTTAAATTGAAGTGCACAGCAGGGTGATTACACAGCCAAACCCTACCTCTCCTACCTCATTTGAAAACACACTTTTACCTTTACTCCTCAACAAATCTCACTCCACCCTAAATTTAACCCCAACACTAATTCTTAACCCTCAACCCATAACCAAAGCATCCCCCACCTCTTCCTAATTTTGCATGTTCTTCTTTTTTAAATTATTTATTTATTTTATGTGTATGAGTGTTTTACCTGGATGTGTATAAGTACACCTGTGCATGCAGTGTTCACAGAGGTCAGAAGAGGGCATCAGATCCCCTAGAACTGGAATTACAAACAGTTGTTAACCCCCATGTGGGTGCTGGGAACTGAACCTGGGTCCTCTGCAAGAGCAGCCAGTGCTCTTGACCAAGCCCATACCATACATGCTCTTCTTCCTTCAAGCACAGAGACTGAATCAAACAAGAAGTCTCTGACTGCCCCATCCTGGCCCTCCTCCCTGAATCTGTTTCTCCATACAGACACAGTCAATGGGGGAGGCCCTGGTCCTGAATGGGGGCTATGTCTTGGGCCTCCAGCCATTGGGGGTGATAATGGGGCATCGGGCCTGGGGACCCCAAGACGAAGGACCCAGCACGACAAGCATAAGACAGTAGCAGTGGCCAGTGCCCAGCGATCACCTCAAGCCCTCTTCTGCCTCACCCTAGCCAATCCCCTTCGGCGGTCCTGCATCAGCATTGTGGAGTGGAAGTATCCTGGGAGGCTCAGGGGTAAGGATCACCAGGGTACCAAGAGTCAAGGATTAAGTCAGGAATAGAACAGAGGAGGGCTGAATTCACCAGGGTCCAAGCATCAAATTTGGGGGGGAAAAAGACTCCAGGGGTGGAAGTGTAGCTCAGTAGTAAGGCACTTGTTTAGTATATTTGATGTCCTGAGTTCAGTCCACAGCACTGCAAAGGTCACAAAGGTCAAAAGTGAAGCCTTTAATCTCAGCACTCAGGAGGCATGATTCCAAGCCAGCTGGGGCTACTGGGAGACCCTGTCTCAAAAAGACCAAAAACAAAACAAAACAAAACAAGTGAAGCACTAAACTGGGCATGGTTGCACATGTCTGTAATCCCAGAACTCAGGAGGCTGAGACGGAATGACTAAAAATTCAAAGCCAGCCTGGACTACAAAGCATGACCCTGTCTTAAAAAAATAAAAAATCAGACTTGAGACTGGGTGTGGTGGCACACACCTTTTTAAATCCCAGCACTCAGAAGGCAGGGTCAGGTAAATCTCTGTGAGTTCAAGTCCAGCCTAGTCTACAAAGTGAGTTGCAGGTCAGCCAGGACTACATAGTGAGACCCTGTTTCAAAATATATCAATCCAGTTGGTAGAGTGCTTACCTAGCAAGCACAAAGCCCAATCCCCAGCACCCCATAAACTGAGCATGGTGGCACACACCTGTGATCCCAGTTCTCAGGAGGTGGAGGCAGAAGGATCAAAATTCAAGGTCATTCATGTCTACATCGAATAGCAAGTTTGAAACCAGTCTGGGCTACATGAGACCCTATCTAAAAGAAAAGTCAAGGACTGAATCAAAGAGTTGAGGAGGATCATGGTTGAGAGAAAGGGGTCAAAGTGAAGGCCTTAGTCAGGGCAAGGGTTAAGAATGTCAGAACCAGTCACCTTGAAGTCAGGAGTCAGTATGAGGTCAGGAGGGTCCCACAGGAATGTAAGGGTTTCATGGCCACTCTTCCTTGACTATGTCTGTCTGAGGCCTTTTGACATCCTCATCCTGCTGACCATCTTTGCCAACTGGGTGGCCCTGAGGGTATACATCCCCTTCCCTGAGGACGACTCCAACACTGCCAACCACAATTTGGTGAGGTGCCCTCGCCCCATTCCCAGCCAGAGTGTAACTTCATTAGAATTTCAAGCCATCCAGCCAAGCCCCACCCCTCCTGGACCCACCTTCTCCAACCCTAGCTACCCAACCCTTTCCAGTACCAGCATCTCATCTGACCCCGCCCCGAAACGGCACTCCCCACACCTGACTCCGCCCTCCAGGAGCAGATGGAATATGTATTCTTGGTGATTTTCACCGTGGAGACAGTGCTCAAGATCGTGGCATACGGGCTGGTACTCCACCCTAGCGCCTACATCCGCAATGGCTGGAACCTACTTGACTTCATCATCGTCGTGGTCTGGTGCGCGTATGCAGGAGGAGGGGCACCCCACCCTAGTAGCATTCCTACTCCCAGATCCACTGAATTCTGGGGCTCAGGGACGCAGCTGCTTCAGACAGCCCCTGTTTGTCACCTGGAATCAGGAATAGTAGCATATTTACACTATTCGCGTTTCCAGTTATGGGGACTTGTGTTTTTCTGAGAAAAGAGGGGAAGGGCGGGAGCCAAAGTCCTGACTCTCCTCTGCGTTCTATGCTCCTCCATCAGGCTGTTTAGCGTGCTGCTGGAGCAAGGACCTGGGCAGCCAGGTGATGCCCCGCATACTGGAGGAAAGCCGGGGGGCTTCGATGTGAAGGCATTACGGGCGTTTAGGGTGCTGCGGCCACTGAGGCTGGTATCTGGAGTCCCGAGTAAGTGGCACACCTCACAGGGTTGAAGGTGGGGCCTGAAGCAGAGGGCGGCTGAGCTGATCCCTCACCAACCCCCAACCCCTACCCCACAGGCCTGCACATAGTGCTCAATTCCATCATGAAGGCGCTAGTACCGCTGCTGCACATTGTGCCGCTAGTCCTCTTCGTCATTATCATCTATGCCATCATCGGACTCGAGCTGTTCCTCGGACGCATGCACAAGACGTGCTACTTCCTGGGATCAGGTCAGCCAGTCCACATTTCACAGGACAGGACACGCCCCCTCCCTAGTTCCTGGGTCCAATCTTGCTTCTAGAAAGCACACTCAAGATTCACAAGACTCTTTCCCCACCCTCAGGTTCCACCCCTGGATAACCAAGCCCGACCCCTAAATTCAAGCTCTGCTCTAAATCCCAGGCTACAACTCCCCGCCATATCCCCTCCATACAACTCCTCCCTGCCCCAACCCATAAGCCAAACAGCCCAGGGCTGTTTAAGACTTCAAACTTAACTGGCATTCACGCAGACCCTAGTCCAGCCTTGCCTCTACCCTCTTTTCAACAAGCTCTCATGGTCACAAGACACTGCCCCCAGGCTCCTGCCTCACTGTTATTTAAGACTATACAGGATTTGCGATGGGTGTGGTGGTGCCGGTAGCAGGTGGATCTCAGCGAGTTCGGGCGGCCTGGCCTACATAGCAAGTTCCAGGTCAGCTAGGCTACAGGGAGACCCTGTCTCAAAAACGAAAAAAACAAAAGACTATACAGGATTTGCAGTCCTTTCCAGACCCCTGCTGGTAGAACTCAGCTTCCCAGTGGTTCAGAACCATTACCTTGGGGTTTGACCCCAGGAAGGAGCTAAAGGTTACTCATGCTTTAAAATATATCTAGGGCTCTGAGTCAAATTTCCTATGAAGATGGGTCTCTAGAGAGGCACTTGTGGGTGGCTTTGTTTCATAGCCCTGGGCTCCAATTTTCCTGCAGGTATGGAGGCGGAGGAGGATCCATCCCCTTGTGCTTCTTCTGGCTCTGGGCGTTCATGCACACTGAACCAGACTGAGTGCTGAGGGCACTGGCCAGGGCCCAATAGTGGCATCACCAACTTCGACAATTTTTTCTTTGCCATGCTGACAGTCTTCCAGTGTATTACCATGGAAGGTTGGACAGATGTCCTCTACTGGGTGAGGTGGACAAGCCCTCACAGGGCTGGGAGGCTGTGCCTGCCCTTCCTCCCCAACTCAATTTGAAGGCTCTGCATGTTCTGAGGGAAATATGCTCTCTCTGCAGATGCAGGATGCCATGGGGTATGAGCTACCCTGGGTATACTTCGTGAGCCTCATCATCTTTGGGTCCTTCTTTGTCCTCAACCTTGTGCTTGGTGTCCTGAGTGGGTGAGGTGCCTACTTATTCTTCCTACAGTCCCTCCCCCTTTTGTGATGCCAAACTCTTAGTAATCCTTCAAAACCCATCTGAGCTGGGCTTGGCAGCACAAGCCTTTAATCCATGCTACTTAGCAGGCTATGATCTCAAGTTCAAGGCCAGACTGGGCAATTTAGTGAGATGTTGCCTCAAATTTTTTTAAAGTGTATTTTTAAGTCCAAGCATTTGGTTTTTCTTTACAAAATATTTATTTATTATTTTTATTTTATGTGTATGAGTGTATTGCCTGCATGTATGTAAGTGCACCCATGTTGTGCAATGCCCACAAAGACCAAAAAAGGGTGTTCAATTCCCTGCAACTGGAGTTATGGACCGTTATTAGCCACCTTGTGGGTGCTGGGATTTGAACCTGGGTCCTTTAGAAGAACAGCAAATGTCCTTAACTGCTGAGCCATCTCTCCAGCCCCAAGTCCAAGCACTTGTATAGCATGTACAAGGCTCCAGGCTCAATCCCCTTTAACCACCAAAATAAAAAATCTGATCTGATCCTTCAATCATTCAATCTTAAATATTTTTCTGTGTGGAAGGCACTGTTTGAGGAACAAAACAAGAAACACTATAACCCCTGCTTTCTTGGATATTGCGTTCTCATGGGAAAGAAAAATAATAGAAACAGACGATAAGTAAGTGTATGTACATTATATATACACATACAGACACGGAATGTGAATTGTGGAAACAGAGGAAAAATAAAGAGAAACAGGGAGATGCTGCCATTAGAAATACCGATATCAGGGATTGAAGAGATGGCTCAGTGGTTAGGAGCACTTCCCGCTCTTGCAGAGGACTCAGGTTCAGTTCCCAGCATCCATGTGGTAGCTAACAACCACTTGTAACAGCAGTGCCAGGAAACTCAATGCCTTCTTTTGGCCTCCTGAGGCACTGCACTCACATGGTGCACACACGTACATCTGTACCCAAAACCCAGGGGCAAAGTCAGGAATTGCAAATTCAAGGAGAGCCGGAGCTAGTAATGAGACCCTGTGTCAAAGAGACCAATCATGCCATACATGGTGTGCACACCTGTAATCCTAGTACTTGGAAGGCAGAAACAGGAGGATCAGGAGTTCAAGGCCAGCCTGAGCTAAAATGATGACCTGAGTTAGGTCCCCAGGACCTACATGGTAGGAGAGAATCAACTCTCATGGGTTGTCCTCTGGCCTCCACATCCCTCCCAACACACACACACACACACACACACACACACACACACACACAATAATTAAACAAATAAATCTAATCTATTTTAAAATCAAGAAAGGCCACTTGGCAAATGTTGAATAAAAATATAAGAGAGATAAGCCAGATCGGCATTCCAAGTTGCAGGAACAGCTAGTCCAAAGACTCAGAGGTTAGAATGTTCTTGGCATATCCAAAGAACAACTATGAGACTAGTGTGCCTGGCAAGCTTACTGGGGGGACTTCCTCACTTAGTCTTCTACCTTTCTCCTTCAGGGAGTTCTCCAAGGAAAGAGAGAAGGCAAAAGCACGAGGTGACTTTCAGAAGCTTCGGGAGAAGCAGCAGATGGAGGAGGAACTGCATGGCTACCTGGACTGGATTACACAGGCTGAAGAGCTAGACTTTGATGACCCAACAGCAGATGGCAACTTGGGTTCTCTAGCTGAAGAGGACAGGGCCGGCCATCGTAGGCAACTCCAATGTGGTCCTGCTTCATTCCTGGCCCAGATGTGGTCTGCCCTCCTGAGACCCAGTCCCAACCTATTCCAGGATTTGCCCCACATCTGGCTCAGGACACAGAATCTAGACACAGACTCACATACAAAGACTCCAACTAGAATCTTGTCCCCTAGATATGGCCCTAACTCTGTGGCCAAGCCACCCTTCCAAGGTGTCCTCTCTATCCCTACAGGGCCCCAGCTGGCTGAGCTGACCAATAGGAGGTGCGGACGCCTGCACTGGTTCAGTCACTCCACTTGCTCCACACACTCCACCAGCAGCCATGGTGAGAGCCAAGGCCAGCAGGAGCAGGTCAGGGCTGGGGTGAGTGGGAAGAAGATAAAACCAAAGGTGGGACCTAGGGTCTTCAGGTCCTGACCTCTGTTTTCACTTCCCTATAGCTAGCCTCCCAGCCAGTGATACAGGCTCCATGGTGGATACCCCAGGCAATGAGGATGAAGAGGAGGGGGCTCTGGCTGGCTGTACACACTGCCTGTGAGAGGCTCCAGTCCTTAATTCCTGAGTAGCTCAGACTTTACTTTAGCTTCCTCACTTTAGCTTCAAACCTTGACCTCAGCCCCTGATCTCCAGCCACAGCTGCTGACTCCCTCTCAGACCTTTGTGACACCTCCCTCCCTTCCCATTCTTTTCTAGAAACAAGATCATGAAAACTAAGATCTGGTGAGTTGGGAAAGTTGTGCAACCTTTTGGATCTGTGACTCTATGACCTATCTGCCACCAAGCCCTTAATGACTTCTGGGCCCCCAGACCTGAACTCCTAGATGAGGTAGGCTCTCTCAGTTATGAGCTGTCCTTCCCACAGCCATCACCTCCACCAAGCCAACCAATGTCTCCAAGCTGGCTGCCGACGGGCTGTGAAGTCCAACGCCTGTTACTGGGCTGTGCTGCTGCTCGTCTTCCTCAACACACTGACCATTGCCTCTGAGCACCATGGGCAGCCTGTATGGCTCACTCAGACCCAGGGTATGCATCAGCATGCCAGCTCTCCCCCCCCAGCCCCTGCTCTCCACCCCAGATGTTGAAATCCAGAATGTTTAGAGAGCCTCAGACCCCAGACATTGCCTTCCCAATCCAAATAAGTGCAGAAACCCTAGTCTGTCCTATCTCATCTTATAACCTACAATTCTGTGTCACTTGCTGTGTGCATCAGGTTCTGTTCTCAGCATTTTACGTGTCCAAACTCAATCACTATTCCCCAGAACCTTGTGTGTGTGAATCAATTACTAAGGCCCAAAGTCTTGATTGCTGCAGCACTAATGAGTTAAGCAACTAACCCCAGGACTCAGCTTATGAGAGGCAGGCCAGAAATTAGAATCCAGGCTCTTAACACCATGCTATCTGGATAACCCCTCTGTGCCTCAGGTTCCCCCATCCACAAAATGAAGACAATGATAATATCCATGGCCTGGAGTGGTTGGGACTAAATGAGTTCAACTGCAAAATGCCTAAGGTATTGTTTTGCCCACATACAGTGTCAACTATTGTTATTATTCCTTAGAACCTTAAGTCCAAGTTGACCTCTGAGACTGCTCCTAACTCCAACACCCAAACCAGCTTCAGTCCCAAAGAAACCTTAGCCTCAAAGCTGGGGGTACAGCTCGGTGGTAGAGTTCATGTGTGAGGCCCTATGAAAATTAATTTTAAAATAATAAATCCTAGATGCTAACTGTACCATTGAATTGGTGTTTTGCTGGCCTCAAAGAGGCTATCTCTGGCCTTATCCCCAACTCTGCCCTCTACCCCAGCTCCTGGGCCCTCCAAGCCTCACTCACTCTGACCTACAAACTCACCCCAGTCCCTAACCCCAATCTTAATCCAGCTTGCACCTCGTCTGCTCCCAGCTACCCCAAGGTCATTCTAAAGCTCCAAACTTCCTTCATGTTGCCACGGCCAGCCCAGTCACCCCTGCTGCTCCCCCCACAGAGTACGCCAACAAAGTGCTGCTCTGTCTCTTCAAGGTGGAGATGCTTCTCAAACTGTATGGTCTGGGCCCCTCTGCCTATGTCGCCTCTTTCTTCAACTGTTTTGACTGCTTTGTGGTCTGTGGGGGCATCCTAGAAACCACTTTGGTGGAAGTGGGTGTCATGCAACCCCTTGGCATCTCAGTGCTCAGATGTGTGCGCCTCCTCAGGATCTTCAAGATCACTAGGTGTGTATTCAGGTGGGGGATCCGGGGGGAAGTGGAGGGGCAGGGGGGTCTGTGGTCCAAAACACAGTCCCAACTTTATATCTCAGCTCCAACGATAGTTTTATTTTCCTCATCACTTATTTAGCAAACATCTACTGAATACCTATTGTATGCTAGACACCCTTCTAGGCCCTAAGGAAACACCAGAAAGCAAAGCAAGCACAAGCTCCTACCTTCATGGAGATTAGAGTCCTCTAGGAAGAGTGTCTCCTCAATTTCTATTCCCTTTCCCAGCCTCAGCTCCGGCTCTGACTTTACCCCAAAGCTCATCCCCAATCCCAGCCTAAATATCCTCTCTAACACTAACCCCAACCATATGTCATCCACAGGTCTACCATCCAATCCCAAGTCCAACCTAACTACTAACTTCCAGCCCCATCTCTAAGTACCAACTACAATGCCATCCTTAATTCTCTGATGCGTCCCTACCCCTAGCCAGCACCCCTTATCCAATTGCAACCCCATTCTCCCCGCTCCTGAAGATCCTCCCCATCCTCTCTCCTATACCCAACCCTCAACCACAGCTTTAACTCCATTTTAACTCTAGCCCCAAATTTCCATGACCCCAGTCCCAACCTGAAATCTAATTCTATGTACATCTCCATCCAAACCACACTTCCCATTATACCCCTAATGCCAACTCTAAGACCAAACTCAGTAGTAGTCCCTTCCTTTCTTACTCTCACCACACTCCAACTCCAAAAATCACTTCCAAACTTGGCACCACAACCTGTTTAACCATACCCTGCCTGACTCCTGGCTCCTGACTCCACAGGGGACAAGGTATCAACTCTGCCTCTTTCTATCTCTGCTGCAGACACTGGGCATCTCTGAGCAATCTGGTGGAATCCCTGCTCAATTCCATGAAGTCCATCACATCCTTGCTGCTCCTCCTCTTCCTCTTTATCATCATTTTTTCCCTGCTTAGCATGCAGCTTTTTGGGGGCAAGTTCAATTTTGACCAGACCCACACTAAGCGAAGCACCTTTGACACATTCCCCCAAGCCCTCCTCACTGTCTTTCAGGTGAAGCCTAGAGATCCTGCGATGGGTGGGATGGTGGGGCCTGGAATTCCAGGTCCCAAGAACTTGTTGGTGAATTCCTACCCCCAGACCCTGACAGGTGAGGATTGGAACGTGGTCATGTATGATGGCATCATGGCTTATGGAGGCCCCTTCTTCCCAGGGATGCTGGTGTGTGTCTATTTCATCATCCTCTTCATCTGCTGCAACTGTATCCTAATAGCTTTAGGGAGCTGAATGGAGTAGGGTGAGGTTATGGGGGACTTAAGCAGTCCACAGGCGGGCTGCTTCTCCATCTTTGCAGCCTGAGCTCACCCCAGACATCCTGTTGAACGTCTTTCTTGCCATTGCTGTGGATAACCTGGCCAGCAGAGATGCAGGCACTGCCAAGAACAAGGGCAGGTGAGCTCTGGCTCTTCCCTCAAGATAGTTTTTCCCTAAGATCCCTTATTAGAACCCCACACAGACATCTCCCACCATCAGACATGTCTTAATTTGCATTGGGAATCCCCCACCTCCAGATACAAGCTGCCAGTCTTCATTCATTCAACATGCATCTATTAAACACCACACTTGTACCAGGCCCTGTAGCAAATGTTATGGATACAGTATGGGTCAAAGCAAAGAGTCCTTGCCATTTGTAGTTGAGGAAGGCAAGCAAAATACAAAGAAATGGCTATATAATTTAAGAATACAAAAAAAAAAGAATATGTTGTCTGGGTGCAGTGGCCCACACTTTTAAGCCCAGTACTTAGAAGGCAGAGGCAGGATCTCTGTGAGCTCCAGGCCAACCTCATCTACATAGTGAGTTAGCTCCAGGCCAATCAGAGCATGTTAATAATAAGTCCTAAAACTCTTATTTTTAACTCAGCAAAAGGCATGGTGGGGCAGGTCTTTAATCCAAGCAGTTAGGAGGTTAAGGCAGGAGGATCTCAAGTTTGTGGTCAGCCCTGGGGCTACAGGGAGACCCTGTCTCAAAATAATAATAATAATAATAATAATAATAATAATTAATGAAGAATAAGAAAACAAAACAAAGCAATAGTGAGAAATGAAACCAAGCCTGGAAGGGCATGTCTATAATTCTAGCACTTGGAAAGGCTGAGGCAGGAGAATGAGTTCAAGGCCAGCCTAGGCTCCATATGGAGACTCTATGTTGGAGATGAGATTGGATAAAATTGCTCCTTCGAAGTTGTGATGTTGCTACAATATCCATAACAAAACACCAGAACTTGGGGCCTAGCTTAGGGGAAGAAAACTTACCTAACTGTTCAACATTCTGGGTTCCATCCACAACACCACAAATAAGCAAACAAAAAATACCAGTGATGGCTAGAGAGACGGCTCTACAGTTACGAGCACGAGCACTTACTGCTCTTCCAAAGGACCTGGGATCAGTTCCCAGCACCCACATCAGGCAGTGCACAATGACCTATAACTCCAATTCCAGGAAATCTTACACCCTCTGGCCTCTGAGTGTACCTGCATGCATGTGGTACAAATAAGCTCACACAGGTACACATATATACATATAAATAAATCTTTTTATAAAACACCAATGAGGCAGGGATGCAGCAGTGAGGAGAGTGGTAGGAGATCAGGTTAGATGGTGGGAGAAATAGAAGGACCAGACTGGAAGCACTCTTAGTCAAGATGAGACTGGCTTTGGGGCTTGGTAGGATAGCCATGAGATGGTTATGAGCAGAGGAAGGATATTCCAGACAGGATTTCACAGACTCCTTCTGGATGCTGGGAGAATAAACTACAGGCATTGAGGACAGAATCAGGAAGACCCAAGAAAGATGTGTTCTGACAGCATTGCCCCAACCCCCAGCTTTGTCCATCTGTTACCACCTGCAGCAATCACTCCCTATTTCTTCACAGAGAGAAGAGCAGAGAAGGAAACCCTCTACAGGAAAATGGAGTGTTGGTAAGTTATAAGCCTGGGTGTAAGTCAGAGGTGGTAGTACATGCCTTTAAATCCCAGCAGTAGGGAGGCTCAGGCAGCCAGATCTTTATGAGTTCAGACTAGCCTGGTCTACACAGTGAATTCCAGGCTAGCCAGGACTGTATAGTAAGACCCCGCCATCAAAAGAAGAAAGAAAAAGTAAAGAAGCTTGAGTGTTGTCTACACCTCCCCCTACCACCCATACTTATTGATATATGCATGGCTTTAACCCCATCTTCTGCCTATCCATTCACACATCTCTTCTCTTACATACCCTATCTTACTTATCTCAACTCTTACATACCTCCTTTGTGTCCATTTCTTGGTGTCTCTCTCACAGTTGATGACTCCCATCTTCCTGTCTTCAGGTACCTGGTAGAGAGAATGAGGAAGTGGAGGGTGTAAAGAGTGAAGGAGCAGGCAAGTAGGCGGGTCATACAAAAACTGTATGGAACCTTGGGAACAGAACACAGGCAGAGAGCTTCTGACCTTCGATCCTCTCTGGGGAGCAGGTTTTTCCAAGGTCATCCTGAAAGCAGTGGGCATTGATCATGGAACATGCCTGTTGTCCCAGTACTTGGGAGGCTGAGACAAGAGGGTAGCAAATTTGAGACCATCTTGGGGTATGTAGTGAGTTCCAAGTCAGGCTAAACTACATTAGATACCCTGTTTAAAAAAAAAAAAAAAAAGCAAGTGCCGGGGCTCTATCTTAGTGATAGAGTACTTGTGTAGCTTGTGCAAGGCCCTAGGTACAATTTTGTGCACTGAAAAAAAATAATCCTGAGAAGAATGGGCTTAAGTATGTGGCCAGCAACTATTGGGACACCAAGGTTAAAGAAGAGAAAGAAACACTTTATTTTACTGCCAAATTTTTCAGAGTCTGTTATCAAAATGTGTGGGTACATAACAGACACTGAACATACTCACCAGGCTCCCACTGTGTCTCAGGCACTGTTCTAAGAGCTGGGCATACTGTATTGAACAAAACAGATGAGGATCCCTTCCCTGAGGAACTGAGATTCTGGCTGGGAAGTTAGAATTCGCCCTGTGACAAGCAGTTCTAGGTGCTTAACATCGCTTTTCTCAATGAATTTTGCTTTTTCCAGCAGCAGGTGCAGAGGAAGAGGAGGAAGAGGAAGAAGAGGATGAGGAGGAAGGTGGAGCAGGGCGTGTGGAACTCTTACAGGAAGTTGTACCCAAGGAGAAAGTGGTTCCCATCCCTGAGGGAAGTGCCTTCTTCTGCCTCAGCCAAACCAACTCATGAGTACTGGGAGTGGCAGTGGACGAGGCAGCAGGGACTGGGCAGGTGGAGAGCCATGGAACTCCCCAGGTGACAGTGGGGCACAGCAGTATTCCACAGGCTCTCTCAATAAACTCTGGTCCTGGGTTTTGATCATCACTCTTTTCCCACTCCCCAGGATTCGGAAGGCCTGCCACACTCTCATTCATCATCAAATCTTCACCAGTCTCATCCTGGTGTTCATCATCCTTAGTAGCGTGTCCCTGGCTGCTGAGGACCCCATTCGAGCCCACTCCTTCCGCAACCATGTGAGCCCATTGGGGGGGGTAACTCATGGGGGTGTCCTCCTGGACAAAAGCTAGGACAAGGGTGGAGATAGGAAGAAGCCTCCTCAATGGGCTGGGAAAAAGGATCAATAACGGTGGAGAATGCAGTGTCAGTCAATACCATGTAAACAACATACTCAGAGAAGTGCAAGGCAGATCAGGGCTTGCTTGGGAAGGGATGTGTTCAAGAGGCTAAGGGTATCCGTGCAGCTGGGTACAGACAGAGGTCTCCAAATATGAGCCCTTGTCTCTGACAGACAAAACTTTGACATGTATGGAGATCCTTTCTGATGCTAAGAGAAAAGAAAGCGAGAGAGCAAAGCTTACACAGAGAGGTGCACACACAAAATGAGCATGGTGGCACACACCTGGAATTCCAGCACTTGGGAGTCTAAAGCAGAAAGAGTGCTGCAAGTCTGAGGCCAACCTGAGCTATAATGGGGACTTCCAGGCCAATCTGGGTTACCCAGTTGCCGCTTCCCCGGGCTCTGTCCAGCCGAGCCCAGTAAAAACGACCACCAACGGCCGGTTCAAACTTCTTCTCTTTTTCTTTATTGCCTGGTTCCATCCCCTTTTATCTCCTTCTCCCTCCAATCACACCACATTCCGTAGGATACACGAGCCAGATCGCTAGACAGGATTGGTCGGGACACTCTGTCCCCGAGCCCTTGTGCCAACAGCCACGCTTTCCTTCACTGCTGCGCATGCGCCATTAACTCATCATGGGGCTTGGCAGGGTGCCCGGGCACCATCTTGGGCACTCCCGCGTGGGCCCGCTCTCCACACCCAGTAAGACCCTGTCATAAAAAGGAAGGAAGGAAGGGAAGGAGGGAGGGAGGGAGGGATGGAGAAAGAAAGACACATGCACCCACCTACCAGCACCCTCAGTCATGACTTGGCGCTCCTTATCTTTCTCACTCCCCCATATTCTAGGGTACTTCGATTATGCCTTCACCTCCATTTTCACTGTGTAGATTCTACTTAAGGTGACTAATAGGTCCCCAATCATACCCTCATTCACCCCAATCCACTCCCTGCCCACCCCCACCACCCACCTCTCTGGTCCCTCTCCCCTCCTCTGCACCAGCTATCCTCAGATCTGAAGCCTATTCCAATGTCCTCTGGTTCCCAGATGACAGTGTTTGAGGCCTTCCTGCACCGTGGCTCCTTCTGCTGTAGCTGGTTCAATCTGTTGGATCTGATTGTAGTCAGTGTGTCCCTCATCTCCTTTCGCATCCAGTGAGTGACATTTCCTTCCTACCCCAATCCTCCCAGAACCATTACCAAGCCCTGATTAGGATCTGAAAACTGTCCCTTCCCCAGCTCCAGGACCATCTCAGTGGTGAAGATTCTCCAAGTACTCAGAGTTCTACGGCCCCTCAGAGCCATCAACAGGGCCAAGGGACTCAAGGTAAGCCCAGCTCACCCAAACCCATGGGTCCCAGGCCTTGACTGCTGGCCATGTGGACTGACCCGTGTTTCTTACAAGTGACTGTATCAGTGGCCACATTTTTCTAATTCAGGTCCCTGATATGTGGCTACATGTCCTTGCCTAGGCACTTATTTCTGATTGATACCCATACATGCTACTGCCTTTGACCATGTGTTCCTGACCACACATTTCTGATTTACAAACACATGCCCCTGGCCCAAGTTCCTGTACTGCATCCATCACCTGAGTCCCCTCCACATGGCTGCCAAAGCCTGCAGTGTCCGTTAGCCATGTGCGTGGGTGCCCACAGCATGTGGTGCAGTGTGTGTTCATGGCGATCCGGACCATCGGAAACATCATGATCGTCACCATCCTCCTGCAGTTTATGTTCGCCTGCATCGGTGTGCAGCTCTTCAAGGTAGGGGAGATCCACAGGGATCAAGGTGGAGGAGGTGAAGGGTGAACCTGCTTGACAAATGTCCTTCTTGCAGGGGAAATTCTACAGTTGCACTGATGAGGCCAAACACACCCCAAAAGAATGCAAGTGAGTGTCTGAGGCCTTGCTCTCTATGGAATCCAGGATCCCTCCCAAATGACATAGAGACATCAGACCTCTCTAAGCCTCCTGAAGCCACTGTAGCCTCCTAAGAGCTCTAGAGACTTCTAGCTTCCTCAAAGTCCCCAAAACTGACAAAACTCCCTAAAGCTTCAAAACATACCATATAACTGTGCCAGCAACTGCAGAGGCCCTCAGAGCTCACTAAGCCCTCAGAAGCACCCCTAGAATCCCTTTCCACATACTTGAGAGTTACCTACATTCCACCCCAGAAACCTGTATCAATCCCTGTCCCTGTTCTGAATTCCCAGCTTTCATCTGGAGATATCTATAGAGGGATCTTTCAAGCAAAGATCATAGAACCAGGCATTTCTACCCCAAACCCACTTCATGAGGTTTGGAGGCATTTCTTCACCCATTTAGTGCTGATGAAAAATAGGGATGAAAAGAGTACCTATATCATAGGGCACTATGAGAAGTAGTGAGTCACTGAACAGAAAGTATACACAGAGTAAAGTCCCTTATAGAAAGAGAGCACAGTGCCTACCACAGAGTCAGTGCTGAAAAATGTCGGCCACTCACAGGACTACTTTCCCCTGGCTGGCAAAGATGCTGGCGATGATAGTGGTGATGATGATAAAGTGCCAACTCTGCCAGAAATTTGTCTTGTTTGTTGTTCATTTGTTGGTTTTACATTTATTTATTTATTCATTCATTCATTCATTCATTCATTCATATGGGGTGTGTGCTTGCCATTTCACATGTGTGGAAGTCAGAGGACAACTTGAGGGAGTTAGTTGTCTCCTTCCACCATGTGGGCTCTACGGATCAAGCTCAGATCATCAGGTCAGCAGCCAGCACCTTTACCCCCTGAGCCATCTTGCCAGCCCTTGTTTGTTTGTTTGTTTTTTCTTTTTGGTCTTTTTGAGACAGGGTCTCCCTGTAGCTCCAGCTGGCCTGGAACTCACTATGTAGAGCAGACTGGCCTTAAATTCACAGAGATCCGCCTGCCTCTGCCTCCCGAGTGCTGGAACTAAAAGTGTGTACCACCACACCCGGATCCCTTGTTTGTTTTTTGAGCCTGGTTCTCACTATGTCCAAGCTACCCTCAAACTCATGCTTCCTGCCTTCTGTCTCCTGAGTGCTGAGATTATAAGCATGTGCCACTGTGCCTGATTAGTCATATTTATTTATGACTGATTGTGGGACATGACCTTCACTATGTAGCCCTGGCTGACATGAAACTCACTATGTAGACCAGGCTGGCCTCAAACTTGTTACAATCTTCCTACCTCTGCCTCCCAAGTACTGGGATTATAGGTGTGCACTGCCATACCTAGCTGTCATTGATTTATTTAATCATAGTGACAAATAGGAAATGGGTTCTATTCATATTCTCAGTTTTATAGGTTGGACGGTAAAAACAAAAGCATGTAGAGGTTGAATGTCTACAGTCACCCAGCCAGGAAATTAAAGGGCAGGATGTGAACCTACCTGCATGATAAAGATCCTAGACCCTTTGCCACAGTTCCACACTCCTCCTCCCTAACCTAGTCTATCTGCAACAACCACAGGGGTTCCTTCCTCATCTACCTTGATGGAGATGTGTTGCGGCCCTTGGTCCGGGAGCGGCTCTGGGTCAACAGTGATTTCAGCTTTGACAATGTTCTTTCAGCCATGATGGCCCTGTTCACTGTTTCCACCTTTGAAGGCTGGCCTGCGTGAGAAACAGGGCCCCAGGGATGGTGGGAGATTGGGCAGAGGTTTCTGGGGAATTGCCTGGGATTGCCTGGGAATGAATGGGAATGCATCTTAAGGATGTAATGAAGGTCTCTCAAGACTGCAGAGGGTTTCCTTTTTCCTTTGTAATTGCTAGCGATTGAACCCAGGGTCTTACATATGTTAAGCAAGTGATCTACCATTAAGCTACATCTCTACTCCATATTTTCTTGAGTCAGGGTCTTATCATGTAGTCCAATTTGACCTCAAACTCATGATCTTCCTGCCTCATCCTCCTGGGTCCTGGAATTCATGTTTCGGCCACCACACCCAGTTGGGTTTAGTTTTCTAGAGACTGGTGAATGTGTTATAGAACTGGGTGGGGCTCAACCCCAGAACCTTGCTGGGAGTTTACTGTGACTTTGGTGAAAGATCTCTAGGGATTGGGTAGAGGACTCTGAGGGAATAGATGGAAGTCTAGAAAGGATTGAGTAGGGGTTTCATGGTATTATGTAGAATTCAGGAAGGATTAGAAAGGGTTTCACTAAGGAGATGGAACATGGGAGTCAAAAGTTTCCAGAGAGGGGACCGGAGAGATGGCTCTGTGGTTAAGAGCTCTGGCTGTTCCTGCAGAGGACTTGGGTTCGAATTCCAGAACCTACATGGCAGCTAACAACCATCAGTTCCAGGGGACCTGACACCCTCTTCTGACCTCTGCAGGCATTGCATGACGTGGGTGCATTTACATACATGCAGACAATACACTCATACACAAAAAATAATAAATAAATAAATAATATTTTTTAAAGTTTCCAGAGAGTCTTTGAGGATACTAGCTGGAGATTTCTAGAGGGAATGAAGCAGAGATCTTTAGGAACTCCAGTTGGTTATATGAGGTCTATGGAAATGTAGGGGTTTGGGGGGTTCACTAAAGGCTTGAAAAAGATTTTTTTGAGGGCCGTATAGAAGTTCCTAAGACTTTGAGATGACTGGGACAAAAGATTTGGGACCCTTTGAGGGTCTAGTTGGGAGGGGTCTCTGTAAGTGTATGGAAATGCAAAGTGATTGAATTGTGAATTTAGAGGTTTTTTGGTATGCCAGACAGGAGATTCGGGGATAAGAGTGATAAGTAGCCTTGGAGCAAGTCTGAAGATATGGGGAGTCCCCCTCACATGCCCCAACTTCTACCTCCCCCTGTCTCCCACAGGCTGCTATACAAGGCCTGATGCACATGCAGAAGATGAGGGCCCTATCTACAATTACCATGTGGAAATCTCTGTGTTCTTCATTGTCTACATCATTATCATTGCTTTCTTCATGATGAACATCTTTGTGGGCTTTGTTATCATCACCTTTCATGCCCAAGGAGAGCAAGAGTACCAAAACTGTGAACTGGACAAAAACCAGGTGACCTCTGACCCCTGACCCCATATTCATGGCCACCAACCAGTCTCTCCTGGACTTGGGACTCCTTCTACCCATTCTCACTCATGCCTTTTACTGCTATGCAGCGTCAGTGTGTGGAATACGCTCTCAAAGCCCAGCCACTATGTCGATACATCCCCAAGAATCCACATCAGTATCGTGTGTGGGCCACTGTGAACTCTGCCACCTTTGAGTACCTCATGTTTCTGCTCCTCCTGCTCAACACAGTTGCCCTAGCCATGCAGGTCTGATCTCCCCGTCCTGACTATTGCCAGACACTTGTTCTTTTCACACAATCCTGTAGGATCTGTTAGGAATGCATTAGGCTTCAAGTAACAACGACCCCCAACTCCCGCACCCCCCCACCCCGCCAACTGACAGAGCCTTAAGCTATCACGACATTTGCAACCTTTCTTCAAATCTAAGTCCAATAACTGACATTGCGTTCTGATTTTTAAGATGCTAGAATGTAAAAAAAAAAAAAAATTATCCATGGCCGTTGCAGGCTGTCACCGATTGTAAAGTGCGCTCCAGATTTGGAGATTCTAAAATGAAGAAAAAGATGTGTATTCTGGCATCAATACAGTATGGTTGTTACTTCGGTGTTGAGGAGCATAGAAGTAGGTTGCTTGCTCACTGCTGATCAGTGATCCAGGCTCTGTCAATCTTCCTGCTGCATCATTCTGCCATAAGTTGGCTTTAATTTTCTTGGATGCTACTTCATGGTCACAAGACAACTACTCCATCAAAAGTCCATACAAGGCAGGAAAAGGGAAAAGGAGAAAGCTGCACCAAACAGCATTCTTTGCTTACCTTAACAGAAAGAAAAGTATTTTTCACAGAAGCTGTCAACCAGCAGGAGACACGTTTATGCTTCATTCCCATAATTATTCTTCCCTTAATGCAAGACAAGCTAGGAGCTGAGTATGACAGTGCACGCCTTTAATCCCAGAACACAGGAGGCAGAGACAGGTGGATCTCTGTAAGAACATGGCCAAGCCTGGTCTACATAGCAAGTTCCAGGCCAGCTGGAGCTAGAGCAACCCTGTCTCAAAACAAAACAAAACAAAATAGGCAAGTTAGGAATCAAGAACTGGGCTTTCCAGTATCTTTAATACAAGACAGACAATGCAAATAGTCTGGCCAAGTCATAATACTTCCATTTCCCATACTCACCTTACCTCAAGCCAGGGACTATTTGATTAGGAGAGGGGACTCTCCACCTCAAGCTCTATCCCCATCTGGTTTTCCCCCAGCACTATGAGCAGACTGCTCCCTTTAACTATGCCATGGATATCCTCAATATGGTTTTCACTGGCCTCTTCACTATTGAGATGGTGCTCAAAATCATTGCATTCAAACCTAAAGTATGCCCTAGACCCACTCCCTATGGGTGAATTCCTTGAGGGAAGAAACACATTCCATAGCTCTCAGGTGGCAGCAACCAAGTAGTCATAAGACTAAAGTTTAAGAGAGATCCAGGCACAGGCCATCTGTGGTCCAAGCCAGGCCCTACCTCCTTAGTACTTCCTACCTACTACTGCTCCCTACCCTGGCCTGCTGTCTCAGAAAAGACAATACAATGCTTTCCTCCTGCCTACGGCATTACTTTGCCGATGCCTGGAACACATTTGATGCTCTTATTGTGGTGGGCAGCGTAGTAGACATTGCCATAACAGAAGTCAATGTGAGAACTGGGTTTTGTACTGACCACCCATGCCCACCCCCTGAAAACCTCTCCCTATCTCTAGGGCCTTCCGTCATTTCACCCCTCCCCCCTGCAAACCTCTCCCTATATCTAGGGCCTTCCTTCACTTGGTAGGCAGCTCTCTCTCATTCTAGCTGTCTCTTTTGAGCCCCTGTTGAGCTTTACCAGAGTACCCCATCTGTCTACCAGCTCCCTTATTCCATTTTGTAGCCTTATCCAGTGGCTCTGCAATCTCCTAAAATGCCTCTCTTGTTATATCTGTTACCTCTTTCATGGGCTCTACCTCCCCCTCCAACAACTCTGCAACCTCCACTGACTCCTTTTTTGGTTCCATCATCTCTCTGGCTCCATTTTCTCCACGAACTCCATCATCTACAGTACTGGCCCTTTCCTGGCTCTGTTATCACCATTGATTCTATCATTTCATCCAATGGTACTACATGGTAATAACTGGACTGATGATACTGCCAATTGCATTTCTTCATCACCGGCTTCTCCAATGATCGTGCATCAGTTATCATCTCCATGACACACTGTCTCCATTATTCCCTTGGATGTCTTTCCTCTGCCATCTCCTTTTACCCCCTCCTCTCCCTTCCACCCCTATTAACAACTTTTTTCACAACCATTTTGACCCACCACCACATAACTCTCCCTATCATCCCCTGAATCTGCACCACCATTACTCCCCTTGTCCATTTGGGGCTATGATTGCATCATCTCCTCTATCGCCTCTTTTTTGGCCATATGTCCCACCAGAATGGAGGCCATCTTGGAGAGGTAGCTTCCCACCCCACCCCCACCTGCCACAGGGACATTCTTTTTTCTACCCTTTTATCTTCCATCCCTCCCTTCCCAAGAGTCCTTAGAAATGCTCCCTGACTACTCTTGGGCCTGAAAGACATAGGGACTGGGAGGGCCAAGGTAAGAGGCAAAGAGGTGGCAACAGGGGCTGATGCAAACTGAGAACCCCCACTACGTCCCTAACCCCAGAGTTCAGAGGACAGCTCCCGAATATCTATCACCTTCTTTCGCCTCTTCCAAGTCATGAGGCTGGTCAAGCTCCTCAGTAAGGGTGAAAGAATCCGAACATTGCTGTGGACATTGATCAAATCTTTCCAGGTAATCCCCACTTCAGAACTACAGCTCCCACCACGCCATATCATTTCCAACCTACCATTTCCAGCTTGCTTGCTGTCTCTAGGCTCTCAATTCCTAATATGCCTCTGGCTTCACTGACCTTACCCTATTTGATTTAATCTTGTGTACACATTTGGGATGCACGTATAATCCAGGGAACTTTAAGGATAGACTGCATAAATGCATTCTGGGGGTTATAGTTCTCTGACTGGACCTAAATATTGGCCCCTCCCCAATCTCTCAGGCCTTTCCCTATGTGGCTCTTCTCATAGCAATGATATTCTTCATCTATGCAGTCATAGGCATGCAGGTAAGTGAAGCTCTAAGGAACACCTCTCTGGAACCCTTCTGACAGAAGAAGATAGTTTGTAGGAATAGTCCCAGAGTAGGGGTGGTGGGCCGAAAGACAGACAAACTGGATGACCCTGGGTAAGTTTACATGTGTGTGAGATGGGCTTGTCAGCACCTGCTTGTCAAGATTAAGTATCCTTTAAAGAATAGAAAGTGAAAAGTGGGTGGGAACATGTGAGAGCATGGGTTCACCCCTGGTACATAGCCTCTATATGCCTATAGATGTTTGGCAAGGTGGCTCTTCAAGATGGCACACAGATCAACTGAAACAACAATTTCCAGACCTTTCCACAGGCTGTGCTGCTTCTGTTCAGGTGACACTTTCCACTTCCCTGTGACCTTCATCCCCAGCATACCCATGAGTACTTACACACCCTCTCTGGGTCCCAGGATGCCTAAGCTATGAAAATATCAGGACAGCCTAAGTTACATATAACCTGAGATCTTTTCTGACTGTGATCTGAGGAGTCTTTCAGAATATTACAGTCTCAGTCATTCTTCTTCTGGTTGTAAGATGGGCCCCCTTCTTAGACCACAGTGTCCTCATCTGTAAAAGGCAAACCTGACTGCCATCATCACAGCCAAGATAGCTGTTAAAATGTTGAAATGGGCCAGGCCTGGTGGCTCATGCCTTTAATCCTGGCACTTGGGAGGCAGAGGCAGGTGGATCTCTGTGAGTTCAAGGCCAGCTTGGTCTACAATAGTGAGTTCCAGGACAGCTGGGGCTACAGGAAGACCCTGTCTCAAAAAGACCAAAAAAATGTTGAAATGGGAGCCAGTGAGATGGCTCAGCAGACACCAAGCCTGACATCCTGAGTCCAAGTCCCAGAACCTACATGATGGAAGGAAAGAAGAGATTCCTGCAGGTTGTCTTCTGACCTCCACACACACGCCATGGCATGTGTGTTTCCCCACCAAAAATAAAAAATAAATATATTTTTTTAATGTTGAAATGCTGTGCCAGGTGCAGCCCCTGGTGTGAAGTAGGTCTCCCCTTCATTCCCTCAGACTCCTGCAACTCCACCCTGTGTGACTTCTTTATAGCCTTTTCTCCAGAACGCCACCCTTATGTGACCCTCCCCAGGTGTGCCACAGGTGAGGTATGGCAAGAGATAACGCTTGCCAGCCTTCCTGGAAATCGGTGTAACCCTGAATCTGACGTTGGACCGGGTGAGGAATTTACCTGTGGTAGTAATTTTGCCATTGCTTATTTTATCAGCTTCTTCATGCTCTGCGCCTTCCTGGTACGAACCATTTCCCCACAGCTGCCACCACTACCATGAGGGCTAACCCTGAGAGCCCCAGGGATGTCCGAATGAATTGGGCACCCCAGATCTTGAAAGCACTGCCCCAACAATAAGATCAACCAGGAAACTTGTGACCCAGTGGTTATATAAGATCATCCCAGCCTCCCACCATCCCCACAACCTAGCTCTGTCCTTTACCTAATGCTGTTTGCTCATTGGCCCACAGATCATAAATCTCTTTGTGGCTGTGATCATGGATAACTTTGATTATCTAACCAGAGATTGGTCCATCCTAGGCCCCCATCACCTTGATGAATTCAAGAGGATCTGGTCTGAATATGATCCTCGAGCCAAGTATGCCCTCTGACTTCTAGAATCCCAGGGTCAATGTGCTGCTCTCCAAAGTCCCCTAGCCCCAGAACTTCTGACTGATACATCCCATTACCCAGCAATAGATGCCACAAGGTTTCTACTGCCCCTTCCTCTGTCCTCTCTACCTCTACTCTTCCCTCAAAAGCCCTGAGGTGTTGGTTGAGAGGCAATAACTTGCTGGTGGGACCTAGGCCTAGGGGGAGTACTGCCAACACAGTGGCACTTCCCTGACTACCTCAGGGGCCACATCAAGCACCTGGATGTAGTTGCCCTGCTGAGATACATCCAGCCCCCACTGGGATTTGGAAAGCTGTGCCCACACAGAGTGGCCTGCAAGGTCTGTGCACCTGCCCACCCACCCCCCCACTGACCTCTGGGAAGGTGCTATACCTTATGGGAAAGGAAAGGGACTTACTTTGATGGGGATGGGTATTTGGTCCCATCTACAAAGGTTTCTGCCCTGGGCATTCAGGGTATACCTAGCATTTCCCTAAGTAGGTTCTATGTCTTTGTTGTTTGCAGAGACTTGTGGCAATGAACGTGCCCCTCAACTCAGATGGAACAGTGACATTCAATGCCACACTCTTTGGCCTGGTGCAGACATCCCTGAAGATCAAGACAGAAGGTGTGGGGGAGGGGAGGAGCTGGAATGGAAGAGTTCCTGGGAAGGGTGAAGGGAAAAAGTGCAGAGTGATAGACCCATCTTCTAACTCCGAACCTCAATATGGGTGACTTTGGCTTCCCCAGGCCTGCTTCCACACCCTGTCTGATAGAAGTGATGTGCAGCTGCAATTGAGGTTTCAAAGTCCCACATCAGCAGCGAAGAGCAACCTCGAAGCCTCTCCTATCTTCCTTCTCCCACACTTTCCTCCATTGCAGGGAACCTGAAGCAAGCCAAGCAGGAGCTGTGAATAGTCATCAAAAAGATCTGGAAGAGGATAAAGCAGAATTTGTTGGATGAGGTCATCCCTCCTCCAGATGGTGAGCTGCCCGCCCCTAATTCTTTGAGCCCAAATGATGGCTGGTAGCTAGGAATTGGGGAGGCAATGGCAATACAGAGGACCCTTGTGTAACTTTGCCCTCTTTCTCTTGTCCCAGAGGAAGAGGTCACCGTGGGCAAATTCTATGCTACATTCCTTATCCAAGATTATTTCTGTAAATTCCGGAGGAGAAAAAAAAAGGGCTACTAGGAACAGAGGCCCCAACAAGCACATCCTCTATCCTTCAGGTCTTAAGGACTGGGCATGGTGTGGCTGTGTGTGTGGAGGCTGAATTCCCTCTTGATCTCATGAAACTCATGTCACAAATGAGGAAACTGAGGCCTAGGTCTCACAAAGGGTCATGGATGGCTCAGAACATTTACACACACACACACACACACACACACACACACACTTCTATAGGAGAAGCAAGTTCATAGAGGTACAGTTTAGACCATTAGCTACCAATTGCCTTATTTTCCCATCCCCACAGGCTGGTCTGAGGAGCCTACAGGACCTGGGTCCTGAGATCCGGCAGGCCCTCACCTATGACACTGAAGAGGAAGAAGAGGAAGAGGCAGCGGGTGAGAAGAGTGAGGAGGAGGAAGCTGAGAAGGACCCAGAAACATACAAAGTGAGGGCAACTTTGCACTCTCCCCAAAAACTCTTGACTGTATAATAACCCCTTCAGACCCCTAAGTGAGTTTGAAACTACCTCTGGAGAGAAGCTCCCCAGAAAAGTTCCCTTCACAATGGAAAAATATTTATTCAGTATCTATCATTAGCTGTTAGAAAGCAAAACTGAGATTCAGCCCCTAGGGACAAGTGAGGGAGCTATAGGGAGAGATGGTCTGAAAAAAGAAACCAACGAAACCCCCCCAAAGGCTCTGCTTATTACTGATTATTGATAACGCTTTAGCTATTCTCTTGTCCATGCCATTTCATATTGCTAAAACTCTTCCTTCTGATCAATATTATATATATCTTTTTGAGACAGGGTCTCCCTGTAGCCCCAGCTGTCCTGGAACTCACTATGTAGACCAGGCTGCCCTTGAACTCACAGAGATCTGCCTGCCTCTATCTCCCAAGTGCTGAGATTAAAGGTGTGCGCCAGCACGCCCAGCTAGCTACAGCATTTATACTCAGTGATTCTCCTCAGGCCTCCATGGACAACCAGTCCCAGTCCCAGTCTCTGTGATGCTCCAGGATTTCAGTGTCTCTGCCTGTTAAGGAAAAACTCCCAGATTTGCTCTCACCTGGGCCCAGTGATGATGATGGTGGGGCTCCCAACCCCAAGCAGCCTAGTGCGCTCCCGGCTGGATCCCACACCCATAGGTATTGTCAAGCGTCTGGGAAGACTGTAAGAGCAGGAAAAGGCTAGACTCTGTGCTGGAGGACATGGGAGAATGGTTAGAGGCCTTCAAATGGAAATTTTGTAAGCATAGACATTTCAAGGGTTCAAAAGAGCCAGGTATAGTGGGGCATATCTATAATCCCAGTACTTGGGATGTGGAGGCAGGAGGAACCAGAATTCAAGATCAGTCATGGCTATGTAGTGAGTTTGAAGCCAGCCTAAGCAACATGAGACTCTTGTCTCAAAAAAAAAAGAGACAAATCAAGGGCTCAGGTGGAATAGAATGTAAGAGACTCATGAGAAAGGCAATGTGAAAGTTTAATGCAAGGCCTAGAGAGATGGCTCAGTGGTTAAGAGCACTGGCTGCTCTTGCAGAGGACCCAGATTTGGTTCCCAGCACCCACCTAGTAGCTCACAACCCTCTGTAACAACAGTTCCAAGAGATCTGACACTCTCTTCTGGCCTCCCAAGACATTGTATGACATGGGTGCACTTATATACATGCAGGCAAAATACTCATACACATAAAATAAAAATAAATGTTTTAAAAAGTTTAATGCAAGCCAGATACAGTGGCATATGCCTTTAATCTCAGCACTCAGGAGGCAGAGGCAGGCAGATCTCTGTGAGTTCGAGGCCAGCCTGGTCTACATAGCAAGTTCAGGTCAGCCAGAGCTACAGAGTGGCAGTGACCCTGTCTCCAAAAACAAAATCGTAAAGCTTAGTGTTTGTATAGGAAATGGGCATGAAATGAGAGGAAAGAAGAGCCTAGGGTCACATATTGGGGGATAGGGACCTGGTCTAACTAACATGCCTTACTTTCCCCAGGAGAAGTTCTGGGGTTCTCATGTTTACTATCCCAGAAGAAGGACCCAAGGGGACTCAAGGGCAAGACAATCAGAATGAAGAAGAGGAAGTCTCTGACTGGTACACTGGCCATGCCACGTAGAATGAGCCCATGGTCCATGCAGGGGAGGGCAGGACTATTGATACTCCAACTCTGAGTCCTAGACCTGAGTTCACTGTCAGCTCTGCCTTCTGCACAGGCTCCCATACCTGGATGATCCGAGAGAGATTTCCTCCAACCCAGGCCTTTTGCCACCCCACTGGCTGCAGAGACAATTAAATAGGCACTGTATACCACAATGACGTTTGCTGCCCCCCACACCTACAGGTAAGAGAAACGATGGGCCATAAAGGACTCCAAGGGCTAGCAGAACAGAACAGGGGAGGAACTGTCATTGTTCTTTGTGCCCAGGTCAGAAGCCCTCCTTCACCATCCAGTGTCTGCAAGACAATTGTGAAGACTTGCCCATCCCAGGCACCTATCATCACAGGCGGAACTCAGGACCTGGCAGGGCTCAGGTGAGGAAAGAAGACACTGTGATCTGCATGGATATAGCAGCCTAGATTGAATTTTTCAAATACATTATATGTCAGGGCCTTCTAAAGAATGGGATACTTGAAGGAACACCCATAATCCTCACTGTACTTATGAAGTGGGTTTACTATCTCCAAGTTTACAGATGAGGAAACTGAGGGTCACAGATATTTATCCACTCATGATCACATAAATAGCAAGCAGCACAACTGACAATTCTAAAGATTTATTTATTTATTTGTGTATATGTGTGTCTGTGTGCATGAGTATATGTGCATATGTGTGTGAGTACACTTGCGCGAGTGTGCAGAGGCAAAAGAGGGTGTCAGTGTCTTCCTCTATCACTTTACACCTATTTCTTTAAGGCAGGGTCTCTCCCTGAACCTGGGGCTCACATTTCCTTGCAGTGATCCTCCTGTCTCTTCCCCCTATGGAGTTGGGATTACAGGCATGCACATGAGGCCCTACTTGCTACTCAGGTGTTTGAATCTGAACTCCAGTCCTCACAATTGTGCAGCAAGTGCTCTTAACCACTGAGCTATTTCTCCAGGCCCTCAAAACTGATGTTTAAGCCCAAGTCTTTGAACTAGGAATGGTGGTACACACCTGCAGTCACTTGGGAAGTAGAGGTAGGAGGATCAGGAATTCAAGATCATTCTCAGCTACATATGGAGTTGAGGCTAGCCTGGGCCAAATGAGACTAACAAAAACAAAATGGTTGGGCATAGTAGCTCATGCCTGTAATCTCAGCTCTTGGGAAGTGGATACAGAAGATTTGCTTCAAATTGAAGCCAGTCTGGGCTACAAAGTAAATTCTAGGCCTGGAAAATAAAATGATACCCTCTCTCAAACAAACAAATAAATAAGCAATCAAACAATACACACAAACCCAGGCCTGTGCTCTGACATAAATTCAAGTCTAGAGCTGAGGATGTAGCTCAGTGATGAAGCACTTACCTAACATGTTTACAGCCCTGGATTTGATCCCCACAAATAAAGGAGTCATTTATTTCTTCTTTGATTTACACCCATTCAGTGTTACTGCAGTTGTGTATTGGAGGAGAGAGACAGGATTCACAAGAGTGAATCCTAGATTCTCACACCCACCAACTGGTTTACTCTGATTCAGGGTTCCTGGGTAACTCCTCCTCAGAGGGGTCGGCTACTATATGCCCCCCTGTTATTGGTGGATGAGGCTGCAGTGGGAGAGGGGCGCCTTGGCAAAACCAGTGCACCACTGCCCACCTTCACCTGTCTGCAAGTGCCCGGAGCTCACTTGAATTCCGGTCACGGCAAGAGGGCCAGTGCCGACAGTTTGGTGGAAGCTGTGAGTCCAGATGCGTGAAAGCAAGAGGGCTGTGGTAAAAGGGGCAGAGGTGAGAGCTGGGGAAGAGTTAAAAGGGGTATCCAAGCTCTGTGTTGAACATGTAGATCCCTCTCCTCAGCATGTTATACTTAACCCTGTCCCCCACCTAATTCCCTTCATGCCCTCATGGGGACATCATTTACCTACACTGACTGATCTGTGCACATGTGCCCTTGGTCAATACTGACTCCACTTGTACCCCCAGGTGCTCATCTCTGAGGGCCTAGGCCTCTTTGCCCGAGACCCACGCTTCGTGGCCCTGGCCAAGCAGGAGATTGCAGATGCCTGTCGCCTGACACTCAATAAGATAGACAGTGCTGCCGGTGACCTGCTGGCACAGGGAACCACCTCACTCTATAGCGATGAGGAGTCCATCCTCTCCCACTTTGATGAAGAGGACCTGGGAGACGAGATGGTCTGTGTCCATGCCCTGTGAATCCTCGCCCCTCATCCACTGCTCAATAAATTCCCTGTCCTTCCCTTCACAAAAGGAGGCGAGCACAGACCACACACTGCTGAATTTTGGTGTCTTTGTACTGGGGGTCTGGGGCAGCCCAGCAGTCTCCATCGATCCACTTCATCCATCCATCCCTGGTTGCAGCCCTGAGCCACTGCCCACACATGAGTATTTCCAGAAACCAGGACAGCTAGGCCTGATTATTCAGTGTCAGAGGAGGGAAGAGGAGGAGGAAAAGATAGAAGCCAAAAAAAGCTGGAGACAGCGTGGAGGTGGGGGAGAAAGGAGGGCACTGGGCAGATAGGGGGAAGGGAAAAGAGGGTGTGCTGGGGGCTTAGATGGTAGGGGAAGACAGAGACTCCACTAGAGGTCAGTCAGGTCAGCCTGAGGAAGAACAGACAAATAGAAAGGAAAGGACAAAGAAACCAGTAGAAGAGTCCTGCCAGTGCAAAGGCCCAGAAGTTGGAGCTGACTTGGTGTCTTAGGCAGAAGTGTCTTCTCATGGCATCCAGAATATCAGAGAGCCTAAATTGGGATCACACCATCTCCCATTTCCCACCTTCTGCCTGAGAAAGAGAAGAAAGCCTAAATCCACTGGCAGAAAATGTAGGTGATAGCAAATAGTAGGGCTCCCAGCTCCAGGGAACCCATCCAGGGCCCCTGGCCAGAGCAACTCTCTCTGCTTCTTGTTCCACCTTTGGGGTCTCATTCATTCAAGGAAGGCCTATCAGGTGGTTAATGTGTCCCAGGTGCCTTGTTGGTTTCCCTCAGGGCAAACTGAGCTGGTTAGACATGTGACAAGGTTTCTCTAAAGTGGGAGCCAGCTCCACTGCAAAGGAATTGGAGGCAGCATAGTGAATAATGCCAGCTGGGACCACTCCTGAGAAGAGTCTGAGGTAGAGTCCCTCCTCACCCTCACAGCAGAAATTTCTTATTTTTATACTTTGCGTCAGTCAAGCCAGGACTTGAAATTTGGGGGAAAACCACAATTGAAGCCTGGGATTCCAAACACACAGTTAACACTGGGTCTTGAAACAAAGGCTTGAAGTAGTTGAGCTGGTATATAATGAGACAGCAAGTCATTGGGAAGGTGTAGAGAGTGAATACAGACTATGGAGAGCTGAGACTGGACAAGTCACCTGAGGCCAGATCATGATGAGTCATGAATGCCACATTCTAAGATGGATGATTTTTTTTTCTATTTATTTATTTATTTTGGTCTTTTTTGAGACAGGATTTCTTTGTAGCCCCAGCTGGCCTGGAACTATGTAGACCAGGCTGGCCTTGAACTCATAGAGATCCACCTGCCTCTGCCTCCCAAGTGCTGGGATTAAAAGCATGTGCTACCATGCCTGGCTGTGTGATTTTTTTGAATTTTATTTATTATTTTTATTTTATGTGTATGCGTATATTGCCTGCATGTAGGCAAGTGCACCCGTATCGTGCAATACCCATGGAGGTCAGAAGAGGCTGTCAGATCCCCTGGGACTGGAGTTACGGACAGTTGTTAGCTGCCATGTGGGTGCTGGGATTCGAACCTGGGTCTTCTGCAAGAACAACCAGCGTTCTTAATCGCTGAGCCATCTCTCCAGGCCCTGATTTTTTTTTTTCTAAAAGCATAGGGAACCATGGGAGGGAATGGAGTAGGGCAGTGACATAGTTAACTATGCATTTTAAATAGATGTTCAAATGGTGTGCTGAAAACAGAAAAAGAGGAAGAGACTAGAGATACTAAAATTGGCAAAAACAATGGTCACCTTAGGAGCAGGGGTGACAGAGGAGATGGTGAGAAGTCAATGAAATTTAAGGTAATGAAAGAGGTCAAATAAACCATTTCTTGGGCCCTGTGCTAAGTGCATTACAGTGATTATCATGTATAATCAGTATGACAACTGTATACATAGCATTTTAAAGCATTTTAAATGGGGATGGAGAGACAGTTCAGCAGTTAAGAGCACTGGTTGCTCTTGCAGAGGACCCAGGTTTGATTCCAGCCCCACATGGGAGCTTACAACCATCTGTAACTCCAGTTCCAGGGGAATCTGATGCCCTCTTCTTACCTCTGCAGACACTGGACGACACGGATGCACTTTCATACATGTAAACAATACATTCATACACATAAAAAATAAAAATAATAAATAAAATACATAAAAATAAAGCTTTTTACATATCCAAGATAAAATAGGAATGAATATTATAAATAAGATTCAAGCACCTGAGTGCCAAAAATCTAACAACTGGGAAGTATCTATTACATATTTGTGTTTTAAAAATGAAGTATAGGGCCGGGCGTGATGGCACACGCCTTTAATCCCAGCACTCAGGAGGCAGAGGCAGGCAGATCTCTGTGAGTTCAAGGCCAACCTGGTCTATATAGTGAGTTCCAGGCCAGCTGGGGCTACAGGGAAACCTTGTCTCAAAAACACCAAAAAAAAATGAAGTATAGAGCCTGGTAAGATGGCTCAGTAGGTAAAGGTGCTTGCCGCCAAGACTGTCAACCTGAGTTTGATCCCCAGGATCCATATGGTAGGAAAGAACCAACTCCCACAAGCTGTCCTCTGACCTCTACATGCACACATATGCACATACACACACACACACACACAAATAAATAAATAAATAAATAAATAAATAAATAAATAAATAAATGAAAAAAATTAGATACAAAAGCCCCAGTTGGCATGGTGGCACAAGCCAATAATCTCACCATTTGGGAGATGGAGGGAGAAGGATCGGAAGTTCAAGGTCATCTTTAGCTGCACTTGGAGTTCAAGGCCAGCCTGGGCTATGTGAAACCCTGTGCACATGGTGGAAAGAGATAAACTGACTCCTGCAAGTTGTCCTCTCACCTCCACTCGCATGTGTGGTGATACACACACACACACACACACACACACACACAGAGTGCTGTACACTTTTCATCTGGTCTACATAGCGAGTTCCAGGCCAGCCAGAGCTACATAGTAAAACCCTGTCTCAAAAAAAAACAAGTAACAGCCAGGCATGATGGTGCAGGCCTTTAATGCCAGCGCTGGGGAGCCGGAGGCAGGCAGATCTCTACAAGTTCGAGGCCAGCCTGGTCTACATATGGAGTTCCAGGCCAGCTGGGACTACAGGGAGACTGTCTCAAAAATACAAAAAAAAAAATAATAATAATGATAATGATAATAAATAAAGGACTGAAGGCCAGGAGTGGTGATGTACATCTTTAATCTCAGCATTTGGGAGGCAGAGACAGGCAGATCTCTGAATTGGGAGACCAGCCTGGGCTACATAGTATAGTAACATATAGTAACATGTCTCTAAACATAAGGGGGCGCTGACACACAGTAAATAAATGTAATATTAAAAAGAGGACTGAAGAATAGAGGGTAAAGTGTGATGTTAGAGTAGGAAAGAATCTGACCAAGAAGAGGGAAATTGGAGAGATGGTTGGAGTTTGGAAATGTGCTTAAAAATGCATATTTTCCAAAAGGAATCGTCAAGACCTTGAACTAGGTTTAAACAGCAGAGACGCTGAAACTGCAGGGACTCAGCACTGTTAATTACTAGCTGTGTGACCTTGTGCAATTCAATCTCTCTGGGGACTCATTTTCCTTATCTGCAAAAACAGGACTAATAGTCACTACTACATAGGGATTAAATGAGTGAACCCACGTAACAAACACAGCACAAGGAATGGCAAAATGTCACCCTGTAAAACCGAGCGGTCCTCCTGTCTGTGTTTTCTGAAAGGAAAATGTTCCAGATGGAATGGCGGCGGGCTACAAGGGAAACCAGTTGCGGTACGCCAGTACGCATGCGCAGCGGAAGGGGGCGGGGGGCGGGGCTGCCGCCGCCTGGGCTCTTCCAACGATCATGCACCGCCCCCGCCGCGCCCCGTGCCCGCCCTTGCTACCAGGCACCTCCCGCCCCCTGCATTGCTGATGCTGCTGCTGGCAGACATGGACGTGGTGAATCAGGTAAGCGCTCCAGCACCGTGGACAGAGCTCTGCGCTCGGGAAGCCCGGGGTACTTTGGTCCTCCAACCCTGAGAGGTGGTGGTCAGGGCAGCAGAGACGGGGTCGTTGGGGCTGGGACCGGGAGTCTCGGGCAGGAGACGGGAGGTAGCGGAGGTGGAGAAAAGGAGTGCGCCCTTTGCCGCAGTAGAGGCCGCCTGATGCCCCATCAGTACTTGTGACCTGGAGGGGAGAAAGAGGGAACCTCGGGCTAGGCAGAGGTAAAGGGGTAGTGAAAAAAGACTCGGGGGCTGCGGATGAGCTTGGAAATAGAGCGACAGAAGGTGTGGGGGCGGGGTGGGAGAGGGCTTGCACTTGCCCCTCCCAAAGAGACTGCACCCGGGTAGATTGACCACCCCTTCCCCCAGAGTAGATATAGGGGTACGATCCGATTTTGCCACTCCAAAACCCCCAGCCTCCTCTTCTCCAACGCATATTCAGTGAATCCATGCCCCAGCTCTCCCCCACCTTAATCAGTCCAGACCCTCTCCGCCATCTCTCTTCTTCACTGCCTCCGAACCTAGACCCCTCCTTAATCAGTAGCGACCCCTCCCCATCTCCATCTCCTCAGACACCACCACCATCTGACTCACCTTTACCACTGCAGACCTGTCCCCTTCACTGTGACTCACCTTCACCACTCAAGACCCCTCCCCCACTCTAACGAACCCAGTCTCCTTCCTTACTCCCTCCACCCAACCTTCTTCCCTATCCGATTCACCTTTAAGCAGTTCAGACCTTCCTTTCCTACTTAGTCTGGACCTCCTCTGCCATGTAACTCATCATCACCTCAGATTTCACCACTCCTGAGCCCTGGGGGCCTTCTCTAAAATTCTGGTGTCACTCCTTCCCCAAGGTGTCACTTTCTCCTTCTCACTCCCTTTTTGTATGCCCCCCCTTCCCGGAGGTCACATGCACCATCCCCAGGGATCATTGCCTGGCAGCCTGGCCCCTCACCTCCACCTCTATTCCCCACAACCCCATTCCCTCCCCACTGTTTCTCTCCTCAGCTGGTGGCTGGGGGTCAGTTCCGGGTGGTCAAGGAGCCCCTTGGCTTCGTGAAGGTGCTACAGTGGGTGAGTGTGGTCTGGGTCGGTCGGGGGTGGGGGAGGGTGGTAATGGGGTCCAGAAGAGCAGAGGTGGAGGAGGATCAGAGAACAAGGAATGGATAGGAGTGGAAGGGGATGAGAGAATTAGGCTCCAGGGTAAGGTCCCAAGGGATTGAGGCCAGGAAACGGATGGACTCTGACGTCACATAAAGCCAAGGGTACCCCCGTTGTGAAGTGGCAGAATTGTGATGTTTTACCTCCTGTCTTCTTGAAGTAAGAGGTGGGGGGATAGGGAGGTGGAGCCTGATGCTGATTGCTTCAAGAGAAATGCAAAGCCAAAAAAAAAAACCAGAGCAGAGACAGTGAAGGAGACTGAGAACGATAGGCAGGGAATGATGGAGACAGAGATGGAAATGGTGAGAGAAAGAGATAAGAGCCAGAGAACAATCCACAGAGAACAGCAATGCAAGGGGAAACAGACATGGGGGGAGATGCAAGGAAATGTGGTAGAGAAGAGAAAGAAACAGAAAGCTGCTCAGAAGAGAAAAGAGACAACAACATTCAGAAACAGGTACAAGGGACACAGAATATAGATCATGAGAGAGGCATAGACTCGACAGAGAGCAAAAAAGAGAGGCCTAAGGGGAGATAGGGGAAGGAGGGGGGGCATGGAGACAGGTCCCATAGAAAAAGACAAGCATAGAAAGATCCTGAGAGAAATAGAGATACTGTGAGACCAAGAGGAGAAGAGGAGAGGGGAGAGGAGATGAAAAGAGGGTAGTGGGAGAGAGAGGAGAGATCAGAGCACCCAAAGGTAGACACACAGAGAGAAATACAGGGAGATAGAATCAGGAAGAGACAGCCACACCCCTGTAATCAGCTTGTGCTTGAACTTGATGGGCCCTGATTAGGGGGTGGGGGTGGGGATCTCTCCATCTGCTGTGGTCTGTGCTGCCCCCCCCCATGTCTCCAGAGGAGGGCACTCCCTCCCACATGCTACAAGCTCACTGTGACTAACCCCTTCCCCGCTACCCAAGGTCTTTGCCATCTTCGCCTTTGCCACATGCGGCAGCTACAACGGGGAGCTCCGGCTGAGTGTGGAGTGTGCCAACAAGACGGAGAGTGCCCTCAACATCGAGGTCGAATTCGAGTACCCCTTCAGGTGTGCACCTGCCCTGGTATCCTGAGACCTGGGAGAGGCAGAGATGGGGTGGGTCGAGCAATACCTCCTTCCCAGTGACTCTTGCACAGCTCCCACTTCAAAGGCCACAGCCACTAAGATCAGTGTCCATGCACTGGGCACCTGTTCTGTACCAGGCACTATTCTGGATGTCTGTGGCAATGTGGTGAGACACAGACAAACACAGGTTGTCACCCTCTCTGGCTCTATTCTAGTGAACAGAAGGGTGGGGGACAGGCAATAGAGAAAATTCATAAGTAAAAAATAGGGCTAGGCTGGGCATGGTGGCGTATGCCTTTAATCCCAGCACTCGGGAGGCAAAGGCAGGTGTATCTCTGTGAGTTTGAGGCCAGCCTGGTCTACATAGTGAGTTCCAGGCCACCTGGGGCTACAGGGAGACCCTGTCTCAAAAAAGACAAAAAAAAATAGGGCTAGGACTGTAACTCAAAGGTGGTACATATGCACAGCATCTGCAAGACCCTGGGTTCCATCCAGAGGTGAGAGAGAGAGAGAGAGAGAGAGAGAGAGAGAGAGAGAGGATGAACCTATGTGTATACACACACACATATACACCTTAATGCAGTAGATGCTCAATTAATGTTATTTGATGGTCATGGTGGTATATTTCTGTAATCCCAGCATTTGGGAAGCTAAGCCAGAAGGATCGTGGTGGTTTCAGTCCAGCCTGGGATTCATAATGAGATCCTGTCTCAAAATTTTAAAAGAGAGGAGGCAAAGTCAGGCGTGGTGTCGCACGCCTTTAATCCCAGCACTCAGGAGGCAGAGGCAGATGGATCTCTGTGATTTTGAGGCCAGCCTGGTCTACATAGCGAGTTCCAGGCCAGCTGGAGATATGAGACCCTGTCTCAAAAGGGAAAAGAGAGAGGAGGCAGAGAAAAGGCTCAGCAGGTAAAAGTACTTGCCTCCAAGCCTGACAACCTGAAGTTGATCCCCAAGAACCACCTGGTGGAAGGAGAGAACAGGCTTCCTGTAAGTTGTCCACTGACTGCTACAGGTGTGCTGTGGCACACATGCATCCACACACACATACATGCACACACTAAATAAATGAAATGCAATAAATTGCAAAAAGTGTTTTAAAATAATAATAATAATAGTCAACATTATTTGCTTCTCAAAGTGCTGGAGCATAACAATGACTAAAGTAGACCAGGTTCCCTATCCTCTGGGTCTACATTATAGCAAACAAAGAGGATAAATGCAGATGCAGAGAAAATTTTGGAGCAGATCCTCATGCAGGAGATTTAATAGAGAAGAAAAGGGGGACTGCTGCCTAGATATGGCAACCATGGCAATTCTGATGTTTATCGAGCCTCTACTGTGTGCCAGGCACTGTGCTAGGTTCTAGGTACACAAGCTGGCAGGGCTGCTACCTTTTGAGGGTGTGGAGGCAGACATAGAAGCACACTTTCATTTGACTTTCCTCTACTACTGAGCCAAATCACATAACCATTTGAGTCTCAACTTCCTCATTTGTAAACAGGGTAACTCTGATACCAACCCCACAAGGTAGTGGGAAGTCTTCACTGAGTTAATACTTGTAAAGTGTTCAGTGCAGTGTCTGGAACACAAGAAATGCTCTGTGAGTCTGTTAAATAAGTACAAGAATTCGGATTTAGGAACTCAGGAAAGAGTCGGGCACTAAGTTGGAAGCTGGGAATTGGGGAGCACCAAAGGCAAATGGAGGCCCAAGAGATCACACAGTAGGGAAAGGGAAGTCAGCTCAGGCCCTGAGCAATGGTAGAAACAGGCTGGAAGGAGAGTATGGCTGATTGAGGAACAGTCAGGGGTCCCCAGGCTCACATAAACCAGGGGAAAGAGTTTGGAGACTAAGGATGTAGCTCAATGGTGGGACACTTGTCTAGCATACCCTGGGTTCCATTCCTAGTACATCAAATGAGGGGGGTGATGAGGAGGATGGGAGAAAGAACTTGCAGAAGGAAGGGTAGGTAGTTGGCAGCATGGAGCCAGCCAGCCCTTTGTGAATCCATAAGATCAAAAAAGCCCCCTATAAATTCCCCCAGCACCTCCCATGCTCACTGCTGCTGGTGTGAAGAAGCCACTAGTATCCCAGAAAAAAATGGCTTTGTCTTGATTCCCCCTCTAAGGACCCCTCACTCCCCACTGTACATTCTGTCTCGCAATCCAGCACACCAGAAACAAACTCATACCCAAATTCAACAACTTGAACAGCCTTGGGCGAATAGCTTAACCATGCTAACTCTCCATTTGTTCAGCTGTAAAATGGGCATAATAACACTGCCCACTTTAGAGAATTGCTGGTGGGATGCCACTAAATGGGACAATTATTAGATTATCTAAATGTAAGCCCCTTTCCAAAGAATCTCTACTATACAAGGACACCAGTATCATTTGCCCCCCCTAACCTGAAGCCAGAGCTGTGGGCCCCTACTCCAGTTCCATTCCCCACACACAATCTGCATACACGTGAGCCCCTCCTCCATCCACCCACAGGAAAGGCCTTTGTCATAAGTCACCTTCCCAGATTGCCCCTCATACACATATTCTGTTCCAAGATCCCTTCTACCCTCCAGTCTGTCATTTCCTATTTCACAGCTATTGGGTTTCTCTGTTCTGCAAATGTGTGTTTTTTTCTCTCAGGGACTGCAAGTGGAATAAGGAGAAGCATCAATATGATGTAGCAAGAAACAGGGTTCAGACACTGACTGCCGCTCCCCAGCTAGCAGCATGACTTTATACAAGCTAATGCACTTCTCTGAGCCTGTTTCCACCTCTGTGCATTTCACTCCATAAACACTGCTTGAACACGTACTAAGTGCCAGCACTGTTCCAAACCCTCAGGATCCATCATTGAACAAAACAGAGGAAAAAGCCCTGACCCATTGTAATAAGTGAAGTTAAAAAAAGCAAAACCGGCTGGGCTTGGTGGCACACACCTTTAATCCCAGCACTTGGGAAGCAGAGGCAGGCAAATTTCTGTGAGTTCAAGGCCAGCCTGGTAAAAGCAAAACCTAGGGCTATGGAGATAGCTCAGTTGGTAAAACAGTTGCCTTGCAAGCATGAGGACTTGAGTTAGATCCCCAAAACCCACATTTTAAAAAGTCAGATGGAGCCGGGTGTGGTGGCGCACACCTTTAATCCCAGCACTAGGGAGGCAGAGGCAGGTGGATCTCTGTGAGTTCAAGGCCAACCTGGTCTACACAGTGAGCTCCAGGACAGCTTGGGCTACAGGGAGACCCTGTCTCAAAAAGACCAAAAAAATTAAAAAAAAAAAGTCAGATGGGGCTGGAAAGATGGCTCAGCAGTTAAGAACACTGGTTGTTCTTGCAGAAGACCCGGGTTCGAATCCCAGCACCCACATGGCAGCTAACAACTGTCTGTAACTCCAGGGGATCCAGTAGCCTCTTCTGACCTCCTCGGGCATTGCACAACACGGGTGCACTTACCTACAGGCAGGCAATACACGCATACACATAAAATAAAAATAATAAATAATTTTTTTTTAAGTTTAAAAAAAAAGTCAGACATGGTGGTGCAGGTTTGTAATCCCAGCACTTGGGAGGCAGACAGGGGTGGTCCCTGGGAATCCCTGGCCAGCTAGCCTAGTGTATTTGGTGAGTTCCAAGCCAGACCCTGTCTCAACAAAAAAGGTGGAGGAACAACACATTAGATTTACCTCTGGCTTCCATAAGCATGTGTACCTGCACACACAGAAACATACACACACATGCTCCTGCACACACACATACACGCATGCACATGCAAAACCTGGTATGGCAGATTGATATAACTGCTTCAGAGAAAAATGGAGCAAGTAAGGAAGGGGGCTAAGGAATACTGAGAGAGAATAGTTCGAATTAATTGTAAATGGTGAGATCCAGGGACTGGGCAAGAGCATAAGGTCCTTGATTCAATCTTCAACACTAAAAAATGAAAAACAGTGGGAGGCAGGAAGTTGAGATGAGCAGTTGAAGGAGGTAGAGGGATGAGATGAAGATATCTAAGGGAACAGCATTCCTACACTTGATCTTAGTCGAAAGGGGAAGAAACAATAAAGGGAGAGCAGAGCATCCCCATTAAAGAGAACAGCCAGTACAAAAATCCTAGGGTCAGAAAGTACTTCGAAAGTTCTAGAACTAACTAAGGGGCAAGAGTACCTGGCTTGGGGTAGGAATGAATAGCACCCATCTTACCAGGATGCTTTCAGAAATCAGCAATATATGACTGGTACACTGCAAGTGTTCTGTGAATGATCATTTCCTCCTTTTCCGGGACCTCATCAGAATCCGGGAGAACCATGTCTGGGAATGTGAGGAAAGGATTCTTAGGGGCTGGGCCACACCTACACACCTCTCTCTGCAGGCTGCACCAAGTGTACTTTGATGCACCCACCTGCCGAGGGGGCACCACCAAGGTCTTTCTAGTTGGTGATTACTCCTCATCAGCTGAATTTTTTGTCACCGTGGCTGTGTTTGCCTTCCTCTACTCCATGGGGGCCCTGGCCACCTACATCTTCCTGCAGAACAAATACCGAGAGAACAACAAAGGGCCCATGCTGGTAAGTCCCCACAGCTGATTGCGTGCAGTGACTAGGGACATGAGGCCTCAGGGACCCAGCTCACTCGGCTCACAGGCCAGACCAACTCCCAAGCTGCCCAACAGCCACATTGCTGCTGCTACTGTCTCTATGAATCCACATTGGGCATCAGGCTTACAAAATCATACAATCATGGGAACACACTGACAGCCCACACAGAATCCCAGACTGGCCCACAACCTGACCCTGCCATCTTTCACACAACCATGCAGTCTAGATCAAAGGAAGGAGTGCTGAGGTTCACTGTGACAGGCATGCATGTCATCCTGTCACACAGACACTAATTACTACACAGCTATATTCTCACACCCTCATCCCAGACATAAAATGACATAAATTCCCACATGCAGATAAAAGTGGAGACATTTCTCACAGATTCGGAAACATCCCACAGAGTTCCTCCCTCAACATCCACACCCACACATCACAAGCACACTCCCACATCCTGTGTCACATACACTCACAAGTTCAAGCCTAGAGGGCCACCTTCAGGTGAAAACACTGCGGTTCAGAGCTGGGAGGGCAGAAGAGAGAGGCAGACCTTCTCTAGGGGATCCCATCCCACAAAATCTTGTAACATAAAGAGGCTCAGGACTCAGCATGAAGCAGTCCATTCACAGTGATGTTTACCTCTCCTCTGCCTAGGACTTTCTGGCCACGGCAGTGTTCGCCTTCATGTGGCTGGTTAGCTCATCTGCCTGGGCCAAGGGCCTGTCCGATGTGAAGATGGCCACAGACCCAGAGAACATTATCAAGCAGATGGGTATGTGCCGCCAGACAGGGAACATATGCAAGGAACTGAGGGACCCTGTGACCTCAGGCCTCAACACCTCTGTGGTAAGCCCAAGGAAGCTGGGGGAGGGAGGTTGGGAAACATAATCTGGGGAGTGGCGGTGATAGAGTGAGAGTAAAAAGGAATCAGGAGATCCACAGGGGCTCCCAGGAGGAGTCATGCCAACAGAAGAATACTGAAGAATGAGATAGCAATTATAACCACCAGGATACCACATATTGCCTGTCCCCAAGCGAGGAAAGCATGAGGCTATTTGACCAGATTAAGCTAGGGAGACCTGAATCCTAGGTCCAGCCTAATCATGTCAAATCTGAAACTCAGTATCCTCTTTGGACTTGTTTTCTTATGTGCAAAAGAAAGAGTACCTTGAATGTTTCTCTGCTTGGGTACCTCCTACTGGCTGGAGTCACATGGTCTGAACACAGATACTGCCACTTGCAAGCTCCATGATCTGCAGCCTCTTCAGCTCATTTTGAGCCAGTAAACTGAAGACTAATGATAGGCCCTGCTCTAAAATTGAGTATTCACTGAATTACTAACATGCAAAGTGCTTAGGAAAGGGCCTAGCACAAGGTAAAACAAATCCTATACTAGTATTACAGAAGCTAAGATTCCAAATCTTTCTTGTCTCTTGCTGGCTGAGACCCTGAGTAGTTTAAATCACTGGGTTTAGCTTTAAAATGGAAGTATCAAACCAGTATGGTGGCACATGCCTCTAAACCCAGCACTTGGGAGGCTGAAGCAAGAGGAGTGCTGTGCAATTTGAGGTCACTCTGGGGTACATAGTGAGTTCCAGGACAGCGTGATACCTTGTCTCAACAAAACAAAACAAAAAAAGAATAAAATAAAAATCAACAAGGGCCAAGCATGGTGGTGCATGCCCTTAATCCCAGCACTTGGGAGGCAAAGGCAGGCGGACTTCTGTGAGTTCCAGGCCAGCTAGGGCTACAGGGAGACTCTGTCTCAAAAAAAACTTCAACAAAAACTAAAAGTAGATAAAATGGAGTTATCAGCTAAGTGCAGTGATGCCTTAGTCTCAGCTACTCAGCAAGTGGAGCCAGAAGAAGACCACTTGAGCACAGGAGTTCTGGACCAGACTGGGGCACCATCTTTTTTTTTTTTTTTTTTTTTTTTTTGGTCTTTTTGAGACAAGGTCTTCTTGTAGCCCCAGGCTGGCCTTGATCCACCTGCCTTTGCCTCCCAACTGCTGGGATTAAAGGCATGCCCACCATGCCTGGCGACTGTCTTAAAGAACAAAAAGAGTAAAAATAAAATAAAATGGAGATCTTACTTCCTATTCAAACATAGAACTTTAAGTAAACCAATGTAAGGTTCTCAGAAGACATGACATATAGTAAAAGGCATATAGCATTTTGTTTTTAAATATTTTATGTAAGTTCCATATATTTATTTTTAATTTTTAACTGTCTTTTTGTTTTGTTTTGTTTTGTTTTGTTTTTTTAAAAAACTATTTTATTTAGTATTTTTTTTATTTATGTATATGAGTGTATTGCTTGCATGTATGTGAGTGCACCCATGTCGTGCAATGCCATGGAGGTCAGAAGAGGCTTCGGATTCCCCTGGAACTGGAGTTAAGGACAGTTTGTAGCTGCCATGTGGGTGCTGGGAATCGAACCTGGGTCCTCTGCAAGAGAAATCAGTGCTTTTAACCGCTGAGCCATCTCTCCAGCCCCTTTGTTTTGTTTTAATGAAACAGGTTCTCACTATGTAGACCAGACTGGCCTCAAACTCACAGAGATCTGCCTGCCTCTGCCTCCTGAGTGTTGGGATTAAAGGCATGCGCACCCAGTTTAACTGTTTTCTTTACGAGCATATATTTAGAGCCTCGCATGCTGATGCACACATGTAAACCCACCACTCAAGAAGCTAATTTGAAGCCAGAGTGAGTTACATAGTGAGCTTCAAGCCACCCTGAGTTAAATGGCAGGACCTTGTCTCAAGAAAAAAAAAAAAAGAAAGAAAAAAAAAAGGAGGAGGCTGGAGAGGTGGCTCAGCTGTTAAGAGCACTTGCTTCTCTTCCAAAAGACCTGAGTTCTGTTCCCAGTACCTATGGCAAGTGGCTCACAACTGCTTTGAACGCCAGTTCTAAGGAGTCCCAACACCTTTTCTGGCCTCCATGGGCACCAGAACACACATGACATCACACACACACACAATTTTTAAAATCTTTAAACAAAAAAAAATCAGTTTCTATATTTTATACATGTGTGTTTATGTGAAAACTTGTATAAACATATATGTGTAAAATCTATTTCATTAAAATGCATACTTATACAATGGAACCAGGCATGGCGCTGCATGCCTTTAATCCCAGCATTCTGGAAGCAGAAGTAGGGGGATCTCTATGAGCTTGAAGCCAGCCTGGTCTACATTGCCAGTTTCAAGCTAGCCAGAACTACACAGTGAGACCCTATCTCAAAAAGCAAAAATGCATATATCTTACAAAATATGTTTACTATATTTTGTACATTAATAAACATGTATATTTAATAAATATATATGCGCCTGCAGTGGTGGCACATGCCTTTAATCCCAGCACTTGGGAGGCAGAGGCAGGAGGATCTCTGTGAGTTCAAAGCCTGCCTGGTCCACATTGTGAGTTCCAGGACAGCTGGGGCTATAAGGAGACCCTGTCTCAAAAAAAAAAAAAAAAAGACCTAAATAAATGCAAACATTTAAATTTTAGTTTTTTGGAGGCAAGGATCTCATGTAGCCTACTTTGGCCTCAAACTACGTAGCTAAAGCTAGCCTTGAACTCCTGATCCTCCAGCCTCCATCTCCCAATTGCTGGGATTGGAGATGTGTGCCACCAGGCCCCATAAATATTCATATATGTCAATACTGATAGAGTTCAACATCCCCGGGAATATGAATCCTAACAAGTGTCCCACTCCCAAATTTTTCTGTACACTGATGTTCACAGGGAGTCAGGATTTCAGAGCCCATTGATTTATGTGCTAAATGCCCATTACTGTTCGCTCAGCCTCAAAGGCCACAGAGGCACTGAGCGGATGAGGACATCTTCGTCTTGTCTCCCTGCAGGTGTTCGGCTTCCTGAATCTGGTGCTCTGGGTTGGCAACCTGTGGTTCGTGTTCAAGGAGACAGGCTGGGCTGCACCTTTCATGCGCGCTCCTCCTGGTGTCCCCGAGAAGCAACCAGCACCTGGGGATACCTACGGCGATGCAGGCTATGGTCAGGGCCCTGGAGGGTATGGGCCCCAGGACTCCTACGGGCCTCAGGGTGGCTACCAACCCGATTACGGGCAGCCAGCCAGCAGTGGTGGTGGTGGCTACGGGCCTCAGGGCGACTATGGGCAGCAAGGCTACGGCCCGCAAGGAGCGCCCACTTCCTTCTCCAATCAAATGTAATCTGGTGAGTGATGAGCGGGTGCTGCGGGCAAGGAGTATAATTGAGATAGGTGGGTCAGCGAACCAATAAAACTTAAGAGTAGACGTGTGTGTTTGCCGCTTGCCAGGAGAGTAAGGGTCGAAATTTGAAAGGAACCAATAGAGAGGCAGAGCTGCAAGCAGAATGAGAAAAAGTAGCCAATGAGTGGAGAGCAGGAAACTAGCACCTGAAGATGGGCATATGAAGCAGCCAACGGGAAGGAGGTTAAAAAAAAAAATAT